ATTTCCAGTGTGGGGGGGGTCGGGAAACATCGAAAGCACGCATGTGGAACCCTTACCCCCCCAACCCGAGATTCGGGTCTTCGGGTTGGGTTGGGGTGGTCTGGTAGGTAGTCAGCCAAAACGCCCCGTGTGAAAAAATCGCAACGCCCGGATCCGAAGTCCGTAATCGGTCTCGATCATGTGAGTATTTGACGCCTTTTGTGCCCCCCCTTTTGGCTCCCCCCTCTCTCTCTCTCTCCCTCGTATGGGCGCCGGCTCTGGCAACTTTTGCGTCACGCTTTCCGCCCGCGCGTCCTTCGTGGATGCACGGTTCTCTTGTCCTGTTTTGCCTTGGCTCTGACGGGCATGGGGCCGACAGAGAGCGGCGTCGACGTGATCTGAGCGTCTGGCCTGGCTGCCTCCTTTTGAGGGTTGACGTCTCTCTCTCCCCCTGTGCCAGTCCCCCCCTATCGTTGAGTCGGGCAAGCCCCTCTCCAGGAGGAACTTCCAAGAATAACCAAACAATAGTCAGGTGACGATTTGTCCTGCTCTTCTGACCGCTTAAATACTTTAGGACTGTTTTCATTGTCCTTCCAAAATCCGCTTGTAGGGGGACGTGCCCGACCTGAGAGGAACAGGAGGAGGAGGAGGAGGAGGAGGAGGAGGAGGAGGAGGAGGAGGAGGAGGAGGAGGAGGAGGAGGAGGAGGAGGAGGAGGAGGAGGGAGGAGGAGGCAGGGGGAGAGCGGAACACATTTTTTCCCAACCATCCTGTGATGTTGGGTCTGCGTTTTGAAGAGACGGTCCCCGCGTTCCCTTTCCTCCTCCCCCACCTCCCTCCTCCCCCTCCTTGCTTTTGCTCTCCGCATGTCTCTGTTTCGGTGCACCCTTCACACGTTTCGTGGCCCCATAGGGAGCTCCACCTAAGGTCCCAGTGGCGCAGCCCGCATGGCGCCGCCGCCCCATTGTGCCACACCCCTCATACGTTTCGTGGCCCCATAGGGAGCTCCATCTAGGGTCCCAGTGGCGCAGGCCGCATGGCGCCGCCGCTCTATTGTGGCACACTCCTCACACGTTTCGTGGCCCCATAGGGAGCTCCATCTAAGGTTCCAGTGGCGCAGCCCGCATGGCGCCGCCGCCCCATTTTGGCACACCCTTCACACGCTTCGTGGCCCCATAGGGAGCTCCACCTAAGGTCCCAGTGGCGCAGCCCGCATGGCGCCGCCGCCCCATGTTGGCACACCCCTCATACGTTTCGTGGCCCCATAGTGAGCTCCATCTAGGGTCCCAGTGGCCCATCTAAGTAAGGTCCCAGCGGCGCAGCCCGCATGGCGGCGCCGCTCCATTTTGGCACGCCCCTCACACGTCTCGTGGCCCCATAGGGAACTCCATCTAAGGTCCAAGTGGCGCAGCCCGCATGGCGCCGCCGCCCCATGTTGGCACACTCCTCACGCGTTTCGTGGCCCCTCACGTTTTGGAGACCTTCTCTCGGTCTCGTGGACTCTCTCCCTGGGCCGTCGGCTGTCCGGCGCGCTGCTCCCTCGGCCGACGTCGCCCAGGTGTGATCCTGGACTGCGGCCGCCACGAGGTGGGGAACGGCAAGAAGGAGGACGACGACTGGAGGCTGGAGCTCTACGTGCTGCTCTCGCGCGCCACACGCCACGAGGACCTCCTGCTCATGTGGGCGCCGCGCGTCGAGTTCTTCCTGGCAGGGCCGCCGGAGGGATTGCGGAAGCAGCTGGAGCAGTTTACTACTCGCACGAAGCGGTGCAGGAGGGAGGCGACGGCCCCCGTCAGGGAGCTGGGCTTCACCGAGTTTATCCGCGAGGCTTGACTTGAAGGGCGACCCGCCCGAGCTTCGCCGTCCCCCGACGGTCTGACTGTTTGGCTTCGCGCCGCGGGCAACCCGTGCGCGTCGCTGGGACCCTCTCGGGGCGACCAGCGCGCGTCGCGGGAATTCCGCGCTGCGCTCTGCCCAGAGCCTCGCTTGCCCCCGTCGTCTCTCTGCCCGGCGGCCGCAGCCTTGCCGGCTATCAGCCGGCCGGCTAGCTCTCTCTGCTCCGCGCAGCGGACGACCCGTGCGCGTCGCCGGGACTCTTCGGCGCGACCTGCGTGCGTCGCGGGGGCTCCGCGCGGCGCCGCGCCCGCGGCCTCGGACACGGGCATGCGCGGGCAAAGAGAGAAACATATCGGGAAGGAAGCGGGCGCGATCCTCGGGAGGAGCGTGCCGACATGGGCGTCGACGTTCATGCGCGTAGACTGATTCGCGCGCACATTCATTCACAATCAGACTCGCTCGCGCTCAGTCTCTCGCGCGCAGACCTATCGTCTTCGCTCGCGTTGCGTGCCCCGCCACGCATTTCGGCGCGCCCCTCGCGCGGTTCGTGGTCCCGTAGGGGGCGCGGGCAAAGATGATATTCATAATTGCGGTATTCACAACTGCGTATGGTTGGGTCCTTCGCCAGAATCCACCTGCAGGAGGACATGCCCGACCTAACCTTGTCGTTGCCTCTCAGACCCGAGCTGCGCCGCTGCTCCGCTGTGCCGCCGCTCCGTCCGGGGTGCGCCGGCGATGGCGCCCTGGCCCCAGGGGGCGCAGGCTCGCCGTCCCCAGCGCGCGCTTCCCGCGTAGTCATCTGCCCCGTGTCTCGAGGCCTCCCATGCTGCGCCTCAGCCCCCATGGCCCTCGTTGCAAGTCGGGCGTGTCTCTCTACAGGAGGAAAGCTCAACAATCAACAAACAATGGTCCGAGGGCGATTTGTTCGACATTTGGGAGTTTTTTTTTTTTTTTTTTTTTTTTTTTCTTCATATTTCCCTACCTAGGCTCTGCCTAGAAGCGTTATTACTCTCTAGCTTAAAGGGGCCGGGTAGTGGAAAGCGCCCCGGGCGGTTCTCCCAGTCCCCGCCCCGCGGTTCCCCCAGTCCCCTGGGAGCTTTAGCTTTAGCTTTAGCTTTCGCTTTAGCTTTAGCTTTAGCTTTAGCTTTAGCTTTAGCTTAGCTTTAGCTTAGCTTTAGCTTAGCTTTAGCTGAGCTTTAGCTTAGCTTCAGCTTAGCTTCAGCTTAGCTTTAGCTTAGCTTAAGCTTAGCTTTAGCTTAGCTTTAGCTTAGCTTTAGCTCGCTTTAGCTTAGCTTTAGTTTAGCGTTGGCTTAGCTTTAGCTTAGCTTCAGCTTAGCGTTAGCTTAGCGCTTGCTTAGCTTTAGCTTAGGTTCAGCTTAGTTTTAGCTTTAGTTTTAGCTTTAGCTGTAGCTTCAGCTTAGCTTTAGCTTAGCTTTAGCTTAGCTGTAGCTCAGCTGTAGCTCAGCTTTAGCTTAGGTTTAGCTTAGCTTTAGCTTAGCTTTAGCTTAGCTCTAGCTTAACTTTAGCTTAGCTTTAGCTTAGCTTTAGCTTAGCTTTAGCTTAGCTGTAGCTGAGCTGTTGCTTAGCTTTAGCTTAGCTTTACTGTTACTACTAATGCTGCTTTCCTAGGGGCTCCAACTCCTAGGTAGGGTCGCACTGGGATGCTTTCGATTATTTTTCATTCGTCGCCCAAGATCCCCTTGTAGGGGGACATGCCCGGCCCAACCATTGTTCCCCTTTCCAAGAGCTTCGGCAATTTGCCCCGTGCTGGCAGTGCTCTGCTATAAAATTGCAGTTGCAGCTGTATCGCGCCAGAACAGAATTTCGCGGCGGTGTTCTGCATTAGAGCCAGCACGACGGTGACTCTCGTTCCCCTTCCCTTGAGCTTCGACAGTTTACCGTGGTATTTTTTCCAGCGTGCGTCCCCGATCGGCAGCCGGGGCGGCCGCGGCCGTGGAGTGGCTGTCAGTGGCGGCAATGTGGGACGTGCGCTAGCAGGTACTTCGAAAAAGAGACGAAACCATAAACAGAAAGTTTGGGCGTTCCGCGCGGATTTCTTGGATCCGCGCTGGGCCCCCCAGCGGCGCCTCCCGCGCCGCCCTTGGCGCTGCTCGCCAGGGAGGGGGGGCCCAGCGCAGATCCAGAAAATCCGCACGGAACGCCAACAATTAATGTTCATAGCGTTTCCTCTTTTCTAATACTGGCATTCCAAAGGTTCCCTGCCAAACTGTCGTGGAGCAAAAAAGTGTACACCATTCTCACAAGAGAGGAAACAGCCCCGGGAGACCTCCGACAGACGAAGCATCGGCCAGGCATCAACAACTGTTCGGTTGAACGTCGACCCCACATCAATCCAGGTTCAATGTAACAGTGGGGAAGACGAAGCAACTACAACCCTCGTCAAAATTAACCTCAAAATGGCGGGCACGCCCCTTCGATGTCGGCGCGCCCCTTCAATGTCGATACGACGCCCCTTCAATGTCGGGGCCAGGGCAGATGTGGTGTGACCGGGAGCGACTCGAAAATTCAAAGATGACCGACATTGGAGGGGCGGCGCATACGAGTACATCGCACTCATCGGCACTCGGTCCGATATCTCCCACAATCAGTTCAGCTACGTGAGGCATTTTTGAGGTTATTTTTGACGAGGGTTGTAGTAGAAGTCCCCGTTGGGCCAACGTCGTTGCGAGCTGGGGCCCGCTCGTCTTTGCTGTTTTGAAAAGCTCAGGGGAGCTTCCGGGGGGCCTGAGGCCCCGGGCGCTGGGGAGGTGGGCGCCGGCCGCACTTGCGGTCGAGGGACATCAAATTTGGGGGTTCGGCGGTAGGCGTTTTTGGGAGAACATCGCCGATTTCGGCCCGACCCCGTGCGAACGTCGCCGACGTCCAGAATTCATGCCCGCGCGCGCAAGGAACCGACGTATACGGTGGAAACCCATGCCAAGAAACACCCTGCTTGCCTCCAGGGTGCCCCCTGGGTTTTTCTTGGGCTTCGATGGTCTTGCTGCGGAAAGCGCGGGGTTCCCGCACCAGAAATCAGTGGACGTCCTGGGGTCTCAGGGTTGGGTTTCTGGTGGAAGGTTTCTTGTGGTCGAGCTCCCACTGTTTTCAAACCCTGTGGCCCAAGATGCCCCCCCCAGACCCGCCGAAATTTATACTGATGGCGTGACGACGGAAGGGGGCGTGAGTGGACAGAAATATTTGCACCCCCGAAGCACCGCATACAGGAGGAAAAGGTACCCATACCGCTACCCTTCCCTCGTTTTCCCCTTCTTGGGTCTCCTGGGAGGCCTTCGTCGCCTCGTCGCCACCGCCTCCTGCTGTACAGTCGGGGCGCTGAAGAAGGAACCCTTTTCGTTGGGGAGGGGCTCGGTGTCCCTTGATCGTTTCACAGCTTGCCTCAAGTCTTCCTTATGTTTCCGTTGGGAAATCGAAGTTTATTTTAGGGGAGAAAGGGGCCTCGTTCCTTACATTTAGGGTTCCTTAGGTCAACGCCCCGACTGTACCGCTACCCTTCCCTCGTTTTCCCCTTCTTGGGTCTCCTGGGAGGCCTTCGTCGCCGCGTCGCCACCGCCTCCTGCTGTATCGCCCGGTCACACAGCACTTCGCCTCACGGTTCGGCAGCACCACGGCGGCCTGCAGCTGTGCGGGCCGGGGCGTGGCCGCCCTCCGACCGCAGGCGCGTGGTGCCCCCAGACAGAGCCGCCGCCCGTGCTCGGGCTCCTCCTCCTTCCTTCGGCGGCGAGCCCAGAGGGGAAGTGAGAGGTGGCAGACCTTCCTCCTCCTCCTCCTCCCTCCTCCTCTCCTCCTCCTCCTCCTCCTCCTCCTCCTCCTCCTCCTCCTCCTCCTCCTCCTCCTCCTCCTCCTCCTCCTCCTCCTCCTCCTCCTCCTCCTCTCTCTCTCTCTCTCTCTCGAAGAAGAAGAAGAAGAAGAAGAAGAAGAAGAGGACTACTACTACTAATAATAATAATAAGAATAATAATAAGAATAGTAATACTAATAATAATACTAATAATAATACTAATAATAATACTGATAAGAAGAAGAAGAAGAAAACAAATCATAATAAGAAAAACGTCATAAGCAGAAGCTTTGGGCGCCCCGCGCCGCTGGGCCCCTGTGGGCGGCGCCTGGGGGCGCCGCCTCTGGCGCGCTCCGCGCGCCAGGGCGGGGGACCCAGCTCAGGTCCGAGAAATCCGCGCGGGGCGCCAAGAGTTTACAATTGTACAATTTTTTTGTCTTCTTCTGTGGCAGGCCTTCTCAGGGCTTTTGAGAAGCCCCGCCGCCTTCGGAGAAGGCCCGTGCCCTTTTGCTCCTCCCCCGGGCTCGCCGCCAGTTCCTGCCACCCTGACGTCAGCCCTGACGTCTCACAATCAGCGTGCTTGCTCGGTGTTGGGCCCCGTGGTCCTCACGGACCGATTTTCTCCGAGAAGTGCAGCAGAACGACTGGACAGTTTCTTGTTTGCTTGTCTGTTTGTTTGCGTTTGTTTGGTTTTCCGTTTTCTCGCTGTTCAGCGGCGCTGTTGTGGTGCGCAGCGGTAAGCTTTGATGCTTGCGGGCGCCTCCCAAGCCTGCAGCCGACAACCCGAGCGATACAGCGTCCTCTCAGGGGTTCCGACATCAGCCTGCTGACTGTCACCGAGGATAACGTCGACCAGTTGGAGGAGAACCAGGTTGAGGCGCCCGGAGAGTTTCTTCTCCTCCTTTTCCTCATTCTCCCCCTTCTTCTCTTCTTCCTTCACCTTCTACTTTTCTGTCATCCTTCTTCTCCTGCTCCCCTTCCTTTCTCGCTATCCATTCTGAAAAATGCTGAATCGCTGAAGCTGTTGCAAGATTTTGAGAAGAATGCTCGCGGCGCTGAGGCGGAGCCCACTGTGCAACGGAACGGCCCTCCATCCGTGAAGCTAGTGCGAACTTCTAGACTGAATATATGCGGCGCTCAGGCGACAACAGCATTTTGAAACCGACCCCCCCTTTCCGCACCTGAAAGTATCGCAGATGTTTAAGCCGTGTGTGCGCGGCGCTGAAGCGAGAGCCACATCTTCAAAACGGCCCCCACCTGTCCTTCCGTGAAGCTGGCGCAGACTTGTAAGTCCAAAAGTGCGCGGCGCTACGGCGAGAGCCGCCATTTGAAGACGCCCCTCCTCAATCCGTGGAGCGGTTGCGAACTCTTATAAGACGAGTGTGCGCGGCGCTGCGGCGAGAGCCGCATTTTGAAAAGGAGCCGTCTTCCATCAGTGCATCTATTAAAGACGAGTGTGCGCGGCGCCAAGGCGAGAGCCACATTTTGAGACAGATCCCCCCTCCATCCGCGAAGCTGTTGCCGGCTTTTCAGACAAGTGTGCGCGGCGCGACGGCGAGAGCCACATTTTGAGACAGATCCCCCCTCCATCCGCGAAGCTGTTGCCGGCTTTTCAGACAAGTGTGCGCGGCGCGACGGCGAGTGCCACATTTTGACCCAGCCCTCCATCCGTGAAGCCGTGGCCAATTTCAAGTGTCGCGATCATGAATATTAGGGAAGTCTCAGGCGAAAGCCCAGCCCGCCCTACCGACATGTCTGGGGGTGCGATCGGGAGGAGCTACTTCTAAGGATACGGGATTGAGGAGGAGGAGGAGGAAGAGGAGGAGGAGGAGGAGGAGGAGGAGAAGAATTAGGAGGAGGAGGAGGAGGAGGAGGAGGAGGAGGAGGAGGAGGAGGAGGAGGAGGAGGGGGAGGAGGGGGAGGAGGAGGAGCAGGAGGGTGTGGGAGTGTTCGCGTGGCAAAGCAGAGGGAGCCGTTTTTGCGTCCTCTGCCGTCCGCACGCTGCACTGATGCCCGTTCCCCCACTTCTACTTCTCGCGCGTCCCCGGTTTGCCGGCCCCCAGGCCCCAGGCTGAGTCAGCACGTGGCAATATTGGGTCAGGTTTGGTGCACTATTTGGGGCCATCTCGGGGTCCTTCGGGGGCATGTTTGGGCCTCTCGGGCTACTTGTTCTGACATTGGGCCTTCTTGTGGCCATCTTGAGGTCTCTGGGGCGCATCTCGGGGTGCCTCGGTGGTAAATCAAGGCAGTCTTGGGCCATCCTTGGCAATTCTCGAAGACTCCTGGGGCCTTTGCCTTTCTGGGCCACCCTGGGGATGTCTGGGGTACTCTCGGGGGCCCTGGCGGCCATCTTGAAGCTGTCTTGGGACGCCCTGGCAGCAGCACGTGCGACAAGCCAAGCCAGTTGAAGACACTACAGTCAGCCCCGATAGTAAGGACTGTTGCCTGGCGGGTTCCCTGAGACGTCCCTTGGTACGTCCCCTGGCACGTCCCTTGTCAGGTCCCTGGGCACGTCCCTGGGCACGTCCCCTGGCGTGTCACTTGTCATGTCCCTTGGCACGTCCCCTGGCGCGTGCTTCGTCACGTCCCTTGGCGCGTCCCCTGGCACGTTCCGTGGCCCGTTCCCTGGCACGTCCCTGGGCGCGTTCCCTGGAAGTGGCCCGTCCTCTGGCACGCCCCCTGGCGCATCTCCTGAAACGTCCTCTAGCCTCTAGCACACTCTCTGGCACGTCCCCTGCCGCGACCCCCGACGCGATCCATGGCGCGTCCTGTGGCGCGTCCCCTGGCTCGTCCCCTGGCGCGTCCTTCGGCACGTCGCGTGGCGCGTCCAGTGACAAGCCCCCTTGCGAGCTGCACGTCGCTTTGCACGCCGGCACGCCCACTGGCGCGTCTCCTGGCACGTCTCCTGACACGACCCATGGCTCGTCCTCTGGAGCGTCTTCTGGCTCGTCCCCTGGCACATCCCCTGGCACGTTCCCCAGCACGTCCCCTGGCCCTGGCGCGTCCCCTTGTGTGTGTGTGTGTGTGCACTGCCACGTCCTTTGGCGCGTCCCCTGGCGCGCCCCCTGGCGCGTCCCCCTGCGCGCCCCCTGGCTCGTCCCTGGCACGTCCCTGGCACGTCCCCTTGGCGCATCCCTTGGCGCGTCCCCAGGCGCGTCCCCCGGCACGTCCCGTGGCCCGTTCCCTGGCACGTCCCTGGGCGCGTTCCCTGAAAGTGGCCCGTCCTTTGGCACGCCCCCTGGCGCGTCTCCTGAGGCGTCTGCTGGTTCGCCCCCTGGCACGTCCCCGGGCACGTCCCCTGACGCGACCCCTGGCGCGTCCCGTGGCGCGTCCCCTGGCTCGTCCCCTTGGCGCGTCCTTTGGCATGTCGCGTGGCGCGTCCCGTGACAAGTCCCCTTGCACGTTGCACGTCCCCTGGCGCGCTGGCACGTCTCCTGACACGACCCCTGGCTCGTCTCCCGGTGCGTCTTCTGGCTCGTCCCCTGGCGCATCTTTTGGCACGTCTCCCTGGCACGTCCCCTTGCACGTTCCCTAGCACGTCCCCTGGCCCTGGCGCATCCCCTCGTGTGTGCCCTGCCACGTCCTTTGGCGCGTCCTCTGGCGCGCCCCCTGGCGCGTCCACTGACATGTCTCTTGGCTCGTCCCCTGGCACGTCTTTTGGCACGTCACTTGTCATGTCCCTTGGCACGTCACTTGTCATGTCCCTTGGAACATCATCTGGCAAGTCCTGGGGCCGTCCCCTGGTGCGTCCCTTGGCACGTCGCGCGGCGCATCCTCTGGCACGTCCACTGGCACGTCCCCTGGCGCGTCCCCTGGCACGTCCTTTGACACCTCTGCTGGCACGTCCCCTGGCGCGACCCCTGGCACGTACCGTCGCCCGTACCCTCCCACGTCCCCTGGCACGTCCCCTTGGTTCGTCCCTTGGCACTTCGCCCAGAACGTCCTGTCGCACATCTTCTGGCACGTGGTACAACCCCTGGCACGTTCCATGGCTCGTCCCCCAGCGCGCGTCCTGTCACGGTCCTTAGGAGTCTTCTCATTTTCATGGTAGGGACAGGCTTGTTTTCTGTGTCAGAAGAGCGGGGCTTCCCGATCGGCGACGATAGCAGGATTCGGAGGCTACGCGGAGCGAGGCGAGGCGGAGGAGGAAGAGGGCGACGACGTCGTCGACGAACATGAGGAGGCAGCGAGTGGGCCTGGCAGATCCATGTCTCTTTCTGTGTCGCTCATGATTCCCTCGCAGGCTCACCAGTAGAGAGCTGTGGAGAGACAGGACAACCAACACAGTCCATCACAAGACAACTAGCCAGCAGTGATCTGCTGGCCAGCCGATGCGGCGATCGCCGATTTGAGCACCAATCCTAAAAGATTCGACTCGATTCCGATTTCGATCTGGCTTGGCGATTCGATACTGGTCCTTATTGGCAGTCCAGCGGGATCCTTCTTAGCCTTGCGCCCCTAGGGGAGTGCCAGCGGATCTTGCCAGCTGGGCGGTTTAAGAAGCGCAGCGGGGGTGGATCGCGTCGGGTGGGGGGGGAGGGCGAGGTCGAACGGGCTGTCCTGCAAGGGCGTGGGGAGAATGTATCACACTCGGCGGCGAGCGAGGGGGGGAAGTGAGAAGGAGAATGCCTTCCCAGAAGGCGGCGGGGCTTCTCAGAAGCCCTCGCGCCTTCTGAGATGCTTTTTTGCATCCCCGGAGAAGGCTTAGGAAACATCTCAGAAGGCCTGGGGACTTCTGAGCCTCCTGAGAAGACCTTCTCCTTCTGATTTCCCCTCGACGCTTGCCGTCAGGCTGTCCTGCGCGGGCGTGGGGGGATTGGATCACACGCGGGCTGGCTTCGTCGCGCGGGCTGGCGGGCTGGATCGGGCTATCGGGCGCAATGGCACGAGGAGTGTGCTCCTGAAGTCGCGCGGGGTGCTCCTGAGTGAGGGCGTTCCAGGGAGGGTATCGCCTTCGAGGACGTTTGGCGGACGTCAGCGGCAGGAAGGCGCTTGCCATCTGCGCTGGCGGAAGCACGCGGAGGCCCCGCAGGGGGCCGACGCCAAGGGAGGGCAGTGCCCCCCCGGAGAGGTCGGCCTTGGGGCGCCCAGGGCTTCCAAGGCTTGCCACGTGACTCTTCCGTCTGACGTCGTGCCTGCCTCGTGCCGCACACGTCATTTCCAGCCGGGGACCGGGCGAGGTGCAGAACATGTTCGCGCTGCGCTTCCTCGCGACCTTCGAGACAGAGGTCGTCCAGCCCCAGACGGCTCGCGCTCCGTGCCCGATCCCCGATCTGGCGCTCTCTGGATCACCTGGGGCTGCATTGATCATTGGTCTACTCCGCCTCCGCCTCCTTCCTATTTGTCGTCCTCCACCTCCCCCTCCTCCTCCTCCTCCTCCTCCTCCTCCTCCTCCTCCTTCTCCTCCTCCTCCGCCTCCTCCCCCCTCTCCCTCCTCCTCCCCCTCTTCCTCCTCCTCCTTCTCCTCCTCCCTCCCTCTTCCTCTCCTCCTCCTCCGCCTACTCCTCCTCCTCCTCCTCCCTCCTCCTCCTCCTCCCCTCCTCCTCCTCCTCCCCTCCTCCTCCTCCTCCTCCTCCTCCTCCTCCTCCTCCTCCTCCTCCTCCTCCTCCTCCCGTTTTCCTGGCCCACCGCTTCTCCTGCAGCGGCCCACTTTCAGGCCACGGGTTGGGGCGGCCAGCGCGCACTTCGGCCCGGCTGCTCTACCTTGAAGTCGGGCATGTCCCTCTACGGGAGGAATCTTCAAAGCTAGTTCAAAAATAGTCTGGGGAGGATTCTTCGAGTATATTGGACCCTTTTCGAATATCTTTGGACTACTTTTATTTTTTCGTCCAAAATCCGCCTGCAGGAGGACACGCCCGATCTGACACTATCTTCGGGGTGCTGGGTCGGCGCTTGGAGGGAGCGCGCCGACGTCGGCCAAGTTCGGCAGCGGCGTGTCTGCGCTCTCGCCAGGCAGCTGGCCCAGAGCAGCCTGCTCTGAGTCGTCGCCCTGCGGTAGATTGGGCAGGCTGAACCTCCCTCGCATCGCACCGTGCTCGGCCCCCCACGCGATCCGACGCTGCGAACCAAAATGGCAACATCGCAAAACGTCGCGACCGGAGCCCCAGACCCCATCTTCCCGTGCCCTTTTACGATCGGGCGGGTGGTAATGGGGGGTGACCCAAATGGGGGGCTCAGAAGAAGGCCCCAAAGGAGCCCTTTAGGGCTCCTTTTGGGCACCCAGCCATTTGGGCCCACCCCCAGTACCACCCGCACGATTCGACCCGGATCGATCTTTGAGGGTCCCTGAGGCCCGAAGCCAGGCGAAAAAGCAGCCTGGCCCGAACAACAAGTTGCAACGCCAGGGAGCTCGGGCCGCCGAGTCGAACCGCGGCCTGCGGCTCCTGACGGATTGCTCGTGCGACGGCCCCGACACCCCGCCCGCGGCTTCTGATCCGTCTCGAGGGCGCTCGCGGCGCAGAAGAAGGGAGGGGGACGAGAGGGAGGAGAAGAGGAGGAGAAGGAGGAGGAGGAAGAGGAGGAGAGGAGGAGGAGGAGGAGGAGGAGGAGGAGGAGGAGGATGAGGAGGAGAAGGAGGAGGAGGAGGAGGAGGAGGAGGAGGAGGATGAGGAGGGAGGATGGATGGGGAGGAGGAGGAGGAGGAGGAGGAGGAGGAGGAGGAGGAGGAGGGGGGAGGAGGAAGAGGCGGAGGCGGAGGGCGGAGCGGGGGAGGAGGAGGAGAAGGAGGAGGGGAGTATGTAG